CTAAAAAAAAAATTAAGCAACAAAAAATCTGCACCACTCACTCCTAACCTAACCCCTCCGTTTTCTCGATTCTTCTTCCCATACTCTCTCTCTCTCCCTACTCTCTCTCTCTCTCTCTCTCGATTCTCTTCTTCCTCTGGAAGGAAAATCGGAAAACCAACTCCGCCACCGAGATCCCGAAATTGCCTCCTCCCTCACCTCTCGCGTTCTGCCTCTTTCAATCGCCGACATCCTCTCTCTCTCTCTCTCTCTCTCTCTCTCTCGATTTCTCCTCCAATGTAAAAGAAGAAAGCGAACCAACAAACCAAGAAGGCCAGAACAAATCGTTCCCTCTCTCTGCTCTTTCTCACTCTCCCTCGTCTTACACAGAAGGCCAGAAAATGAGCTGGGCTCGGGACGCCGGCGATTGCCTCGGCCGCGGTGAGGATGTGGAGCGGGTGCAGGTTGCGGGTTTGGCGGAGGTGTTGGTGGAGGCGGAGGGTTAGGCGGCAGCGGCGGGTTAGGAGGCGGCGGTGGTTTAGGTGGTTGGATTGGTAAGGGCGGGGAATCGGTGGTGGGATTAGAAAAGGCGGAGGGCTTGGCGGCTAGGCAGGTGGCGGGATCGGAAAAGGTGGAGGTCTAGGTGGCGGAATAGGTAAGGGAGGTGGGCTTGGGGGCGGTTGGCTATGGCGGTGGTGAGAGTGTAGATCTGCTTCTTCTTCTTCCTGTATTTGGGATTTTTTTTATTTATTTAAGATTTGGGAATGGGGATGAATCTGGGCATATTTTGGGGAAGGTGAAGTGGGTCTCGGTTGGCCCGGTTAGTCGGATAACTGCTGTTAATCACCGTCGGTTACTCGGTCACCCGACCCCTTCCTTTTCCCATCCGACCACCTACCGTCAAGGTAACCGGTCGGTTTTCGGTTAGCTGGTAACCGGCGGTTTTCAGTTAAAATCGGCGGTTACCCGCTAACCGCAAACCGAAATGCCAGCCCTATTTTTACGTATTATAACCAAACTCCTGCATGTCGAATAAATGAGCTGGGCGCGCTTAAAGTTAAAAGCAGAAAGCCAGAAACCCCATTCCCCTCGGAAAATTAAAATTTTCTCTCGCCTGGCAGCTGAAGAGTCACTCCAACGCTCCTCCTCCGCCGCGCAACCACCTAGCTCGCTGCTTCATTTCCACCCTCTCCCTCCTTGTTCCGCTCTTCCCTTCTTTCCGGGGTGAGTATCAACTTTGTCTCTTTTCTCTGCATATATACTCAAGGTACCTGAAATTTTCATGGCTGCGAAAGATCGGAAAACCAATGATGCAAAAAATCACTTGCAGGATTCAGAATTTCTCAATCCAAGCAAGCAAGCTCAATTCTGAAACCTTCTCAGCTGGCGGCCACAAATGGTAAGATACCTTCTTTAGAGTGTAGTATCACAGACTGTGATTGGTGGCACTTGGCAGAAACCCTAAGTAGCAGCTTCTGTTTGATTAAAACTTTTTGTGCATGCAGGAATATTAGCGTTTACCCTAAAGGAAGAAGTAGTAGGGATCATGTGGCTGTGTATTTGCTGTTAACTGAATCGGAAACAAGCCACCATGGTAGAAAGGTGACTGCCGAATTCACCCTGACTCTTGTCAACCACATCAATTCCACTTTGTCTCTCCGAAAATGTAACAACCATCATCTCCTCTATATATATATATGCCGCGTCGGATTTGTAATGTAGTTGATATGTTAGATTTGATCATTGAAATGGTTTGGGGAACAAGACTAAAACTTCGGTGATGGTTCGTGCTAAATCTCCCACTTGCAGACCCAGCTGCCAAACAGGGTTTTCCCGAGCAACTGTGAGCCAATGAGAGTAGAATCCTTCCTCACCGAGCAACTCTTCTCCCAATGGTTTTCCCTTCCAGATACTTCTCGATTGGTGGAAAGAGTGGTGCTCTATAGAGAGATAGAGAGCAAGAGCTTAGGGAGCTCCGACTTCGGGCTCCGCTTTCCTTCTGGGTTTTAGGCGTCATCGCCGCTCCGAGCGACTACCAAGATCTCTCTCATTCTCATACGCTGATCAAGGGAAAGAAACAAGAATTCTTCGAGTGCAGCGCCTCTTCAGTATCGGCGACAGCCATAAGGAAGCCTCCGCCCGCTCGAATCTCCTCGGCGTCAGATTTTCTTCTCTCCATCATGCCGAGTGATTCAGTCCGTCCTTCTTGCCGCTGAGTTGCAGGTTTCCGCAGTCCAACCCTATCTTTTCCCACTCGAAGTTTGGCTTTTGAGATCTACCCGGAGAAGGTTCTAAAGTTGTACCGCGTTCAACGTCAACGGCTTGATCCGCTGCCCTGGCTGCTACCCGGCTGGCCGCCACCGCCTTTCATTTCAATCCTCCGCCGTGGCCGCGACGGTTTCGTTGTGGGAAGTTGAAACGTTTACATTTCAATAGCTAATTATTGCTTAATTAATATAATTAATTATTTTTTTGTCAGTTTCCTATGCTTTTATTTACACTTCAATTTCATTGCCATAACTCATAACGTTACAGGTGGGGCATTTATGTTTCCCTTTTACAGCCAATTGTAGTAATGGACATGATGAATATTTTATGCATGGAAGTAAGTAGTGGACATCTGCAGGGCAACAACTACACAGTCGGCCCCAACTCCCAAACTGCTGCTTCCGATCTCCCATGAAGCGACCTGTATTGGAATAGTTTCACTCTACAACCACCATCATCACTATCACCATCATCTCCTTCTTTTTCATTGGCACAAACTACTTTTCTATGTGGGCGGAAGCTTAGCAAGCTAATGGTGGCTCTTAGCCACCATTGAACGACCTAGATTTGGCTGAAAACGGCACTATTGTCGGAAACCTCCTGCATATGGGAGAGTAATACTCGTTTAATTCTTTTGATTAACATAAGCGGTCGTCCTCTGGAATCCGACCATGGCCGGAAACAGTCTACGTGTGGTACCACAAACGGCAAACTCGCCGGAAAACCTCCACCATCAGAGATGGCAATTAATTGCCGGAACAGTTACAAGCCATTGGCGAGTAATTGCGAATTTTCAGTCCTAAATTTATTTTGTATTAAATTTTTTCTATATGTGTAGGTAACGATTAATTGGCCTATTTATTGTTTAGTCCCATTTTTATTGCCAAGAATTCATGTCATTAATGGTATTAATCACATGCTCTACGATTTTAAACGATGAAGTCTTCCTTTGGCATCAACTATGATTTCTTATTTCTTTAGAAATAGTCAAATTGGGCTATCACTTGGCTCATGAATCAACATTGACCTCAAATCGAAAACGGATAGTCGAGAAAACATTGAAAATTTATTCTTCAGATGCCCCCTAGCCACCAGATTGTGGACTTTAGTGGGATTGAGCAACTTTATTGAGACCGCCCCGAGTGTTAACCTTAGTCTATGGTGGCGACATGCCATGGTCTCTAAGACCTCCCCATTCCACATTCTCCAATGCGTCTGCTTACTTTGGAGAATCTGGAAGTCTAGAAATAAAGTGATTTTTGAATTTTACCAACCTCATGCCCGTTCCCTAGCCAGACAATCCTTGATATCTCAAACACTCTCCTCCCTCCCCAACCCCACAACTCTCTTTCCAAACCATCCAACCACCACATGGGTCCCGCCGCCAGACGATTTCCTGAAGATCAATTTCGACGCTGCTGTTTGTGCCACTGGGTGTTCGTCTGGGCTTGTTGTCCTTGGGTCAGACAGACATGTGGTGTTGGAGTTCGGGTTACAACATCAAGGAATAGTCAACCTTTCCCTGGCATAGCTCCTAGCCATTAGAGACGCTATTTCCATCATCACCTGAAGATATTTGACTCACGTGATAGTCAAAGGTGATTCCGGAGTGGTCGTCAAGCAAATCCGGCAAGGCATCATAGAAGACTCGATTGGTGGTCCAGTGTTACGAGAGTGTCGTCAGATCCTTAGCTCTTTGTCCATTTGTATAGAGTTTAGGGCGGTACCTAGAACTGTCAACAGTGCTGCCCATAGAGTGGCGCGTAAGGCACTGCTTCTGTCACGTCTAGAGCTAGAATCTTTCGATTTTTTGGGGTGGCTTCATTAGAATTTATTGTAAGGGGTCCTGGGTAGATTTGTATGAATAACTCTTGTCCTTTATTGATATCACTCAGGAAAAAAAAAAGACCCAGCTGCCAAACAAGAATTCACAGTAGGTGGGCAGGGCTGGGGGTTCTCAACCTTCATTGAGATCAGCAAGCTTCTCAATCCTAGTGAAGGGTTCATTGTGAACGATACTGTCGTGCTTGAAGCTCTAGTTTCGACGGTTCAAGTCAATGATGTACCTCAAGGGCCTGCTACTCCATTGTTGATGAATTTGATTGAAGCAAACTTTGAGTATTGTTATTGATTGAATGCTTGATTGTTACAATGGGTTTCTACTCTATTTATACAAGGAAGAAGAACAACCATAAAAGCTGTAAAGATAAGAGCTGTTGTTTAGTTGTTGGAGCAGAGCATGGGTGAGGTATGGACGATGGCATTGGCAGCTGTTGTTTGGAGTGCTGCTGGAGCACATGGGAGTTATGGGTGGCTGCTGGACAATATGGGTGACTGCAAGCTTGATGGAGGCAGACCATTGATGAAGGCTGAAGTTGGTTTAGAGTTGGAAACCATCAATGCATTAATGGTTTCCTACACTCCCCCTCAAGCGAAGACATGGATGTAAAGAATGTCAAGCTTGGAAAGGAAATGTGTAGAACGAAGAAGGGACGACCATGATTGGGTCGTAACTGCCTTTTGGAAATCTTGGACGAGGTTGATGTTGGAGACTGCTGACTGCGTCTCTTCGTGTAATTTGATAGACAGATCGACACATTTTAACATTGTGATCGATCTGATGATTGAACTGGTCGACCAGATGATTGAACCGATCGACTGATCTGTGTTGATTCCCTATTCTCCCCCTCAAGCTGGAGCATGAACACCGTGAATGCCCAGGTTGAGAGGTGATGAATAATTGGTCTTAGCCCAATAATAACTCTGAGGGGTCGATCTCTTCTTGGATCGTACTACCGCCTAAAAACGCCACGGGAACGATCTGATCGATAATGCCTCGTGAAGCTGAGGGGCTGATCTATTCTTGGGTCGTGTCTGTCCTTTGGACGCCGAGGGGACGACCTCTTCTTGGATCGTACAACCTTCTAATAACGCCAAGGAAATGACGTGATCGGTAATACCTCATACAGTGGCTTGACAAACTTCGCATAAAGAAGCTTTCTTTCTCTTCAACATTAGCTAGTGAAGGGACGACCATTCTTTTGGCTCGTGATTTTCTTCACTGCTACGATGTCTGGGGAAGATTTGCATTCTCTCCTTGCATATGAAATTGCCACTAACTGAAAAGGGACGAAAGAACCATAGGGATCAGCAACTTGTAACTAATATGTCTCGAATGGGATGCTAGGAAAAGAAATTCCCTTTCTCGACTGCGGCTTATAATCAAACGGGTTGCTATTTGGATTCATCCATTCTCCTAACCCCACGAAAACAGAGTAACCATAAGTAATTTTCACTTGATGTGGGCTAAAGAATGCAAGCACAAAAACTTATTGGAGAGCCCATAAAAGTCCATCCAAAATATGGTTGGGCGAGCTCATAAGGCCCAATTATGGCTAGATAGGGATTGAGGGAGGCCCAAACAAAATTGGGAAACCATAGCATGGGCCGGAATTGAAACCACCGCTGATCCCTTTTCCATCTCGACTCGTGCTCCCCCGTTAGCTTTCCCTTCTCTCTCTTCTTTCATCAGCCGAAGAAACGAGCTGGCGACAGGATATGGGGGGCAACTCCAACCTCTAGTCGGAGATGACGACGAGCTGCGATGGCGACCCGGCGATGCGGCAACGGAGAGACGCAGGGCGAGGCAGGCATCGACGACAAGGGCATCGAGGCCTTGACTAGGCAACAGCGGCATCTGAGGAGTGGATCTGTTACATCCACCGCCTCGATCTTGTAGATCGCCTCAACTCTCTTCGGTGACGGCGACCAGTGATGGTGAAGGATCCGCCGGATCTGTGCGACAAAAGACACGACGAAACTTATGGTGCCGGTGACTGTGATGACGCGGCGAATATCTTTGCTGATGTGGCAGCACATCAACGGGGATGACGAAGACCGAATGACAATACCGGCAACTTGAGAGCTGGCTGGTGGCTGGGCACGACGATTTGACACTGCGGCGGTAACTGGTGTGAGGATCATAGTGACGGCGGCAAAATGAATTGGAGCCGCGGCTGCTTGTGCTGTGGTGGGCGATACTTTGCCTACTGTGAGCATCTCCAAAGTTCATAAGTGAGCTTGATGATGGAGATGGCGAGACAAGTGCCGATTTATTAAATGGCTCCTGAAAGATGCAGCAACAGTGGCTAGTATTGGAGTGGGGATGCCAAGGGAGAAAGACTCTCTCATGACAATAGATGGCGGAAGCATGAGATTGAAGAGGAGCCTGGAGATTGCTCACTCATGACTGACTGGAAATTGACGAACATTCTTGTTGACTGGAAATTGAAGACGAAAGATGAAGATTTGAAAGAAAGGTATTGGAAGATCTAACTAACTCTTTTCTTCCTTTTCTTCTTCTTTGGTTTTCCATCACTGGATTCTAAATCCAGCTCTAATACCATGATGAATTTTATTGAAGCAAACTTTGAGTATTGTTATTGATTGAATGCTTGATTGTTACAATGGGTTTCTACTCTATTTATACAAGGAAGAAGAACAACCATAAAAGCTGTAAAGATAAGAGCTGTTGTTTAGTTGTTGGAGCAGAGCATGAGTGAGGTATGGACGATGGCATTGGCAGCTGTTGTCTGGAGTGCAGCTGGAGCACATGGGAGTTATGGGTGGCTGCTGGACAATATGGGTGACTGCAAGTTTGATGGAGGTAGACCATTGATGAAGGCTGAAGTTGGTTTACAGTTGGAAACCATCAATGCATTAATGGTTTCCTACAATTATCGAGCCAGGTATGAATGATACTAAACACTTTTGAGTTTCGAGACTGTCCTCGTTCCAATCGACATGTGAGCGCAAGAACCCTTCTTTTATATCAGGTCTAAAGTGCAAAGTCTTGATTTGTGCATTTTCTCCAATGGCTTCAGGTTGCTGGTCCTGCTAAATGTAATGAAACTACTCAGAACCCCGACTCATTGCCAAGTGTGCAACTAGCTTCAAGAAACTTGAGGGCAGAACTTTCCACAGTGACCAGCAATTTGAAATCCCTTGCAGTCAGTAGTGGCACTTCCTTACTACTGCAACAACGAAGGGAGAAAATGGTGTGGCCTTGAACTCCTGCCTTTAGCCGTGAACTTGCGTTTTTTTCACCTCTTCTCCCCGTTTTCGATCCTTTTTGCCAATCCTTCGACTCCGAGGCTGGTTCCACCTGTTAAATCCGGAAAATCACTCAAACACGAAGAACCTCGCGTAAAACCAACCTCTAATGAGCGAATTTTGCACAAACATGTAAGCAAACCGGGGGCAAAATATGCGAAATTAGGTCCGAATCACTCCCCCAAACTTAGACGTTTACTTGTCCCCAAGCAAACCATTTCACACACACGGTAATATTTCAACCTACACAAATGCTTTGGGGACAACTCAAAGGACACGAAGCGAGAATTCTCGATGTTTATTGACAATCAACATATGAACCGTCGCAAGCAATTCTGACATCCACCACAAACGACATTCAATGCCACCAAAACGAGCAAATGAACAGTTCTCAACTTATTCATGGATAAATGCAAGTCTCAACCAAACCACTTATCGACAATTTATGCATTTTCATGGAATTCAAGACAGAGGAACAAATGGAAAGGCAACAAAGGTCCTCACCAGTGTATGATATGACATGCAAAGCAAGAATGAATCCCTCACTTTCAAGACAGTGGGGTCGGGACCTTTTTGGTGCAAAAGATGTTCACAATCTAAACCTCTCGGCCCTATCGTCTCAATACCACGGCGGTAACCTCTAAACGCTAGAGTTCATGGGATGGTTGCCACCACTAGCTCGTCCGGAGGTCTTAGACACGGGTTCATATGACTAGCGATTGGCTTGGATATGGGGAAAAGTCTTTTTGGGTTGTGGCAATCATGACGTGAGGTTCTACATCTATAACCTAAACCCGAAAGTTCTATGGTTTCGACTAAAACCCTTCTCTCCAATCAAAGGCCACTGGCATCGGCCGAAACTCTTATCTCTCCCTTCCAACTATCACTAATCATGAACTACCTTGAAGCACTCTTCCTCGGTCAACTCTTGCTAGTTTTTTAAGGTTTGGAAGTGAAGGAGTTCTAAACAATGTGGGGGTTTCGTTGACTTGGGTGCCAAGAAACCCCTTCCTAGAGCATGTACTTTGGTTTTTCGTGGCACTCTCTACATTATTTACCCCATTTTATTGCCTCTTTTTCGTTTCTCTTTTCTTTTCTTTCTCTTTTTTTTTCTTTTTGAGGGGGTATTAGAGAGTAAAAACACTTGCCACCTAAACATTTATCGACCAATGCTCTCTTTTTAAGGAACTAACTCCAACACTACACTCCATTTTGCACTCCTAGCAAGAACACATGAACATACTATGTAGAACCTCTACGGAAACTCAACTATAAGAGTTCCGGGACACACGGGCGACTCATGTTTGGACACGAATAAAGGATTTGGGGGTCGTTCTACTAACACCTTTAAGCTCACACGAGTAAAGCTCCTAAACTGAGAACGACCCACGAATCACACGGCTCAAAGGGGTTGACTAAGGGATGATGCATCTCGGGACAATCAACTTTTGGGGCGTGGACTAATCCTATGCCTCCATCATACTTGCTAGTGATAACTTGTGATGCTACACACCGTGGTAAGAGGGAACTATCACACCAAAAGAAACAAATGACTCAAAGCTCACAGGCTACCTAGTTACCCAACCATCTATTCCCATTCACAAACACGATACAAAAGCAATTGTAAACAACAAGTGATCAAGTCAAGACCTTCATTCATTTATGCACACTTTGAGACTAAACTCTTTCCCTATCCTAATGAACTTCTCAGTCATCATCATAGGATATGCTCAATCACATGCACAGTTCAAGATTAATGCCACAAACACGAGAATTTCCCACCATCCGGTCACTTTGAACACGCAAACGTTGCTTGGAGCCCTCAAATTTTTGAAATTTGGGCATACAAAAGGCTCCAAGCAACATCTCACACAAGCACACTAGTAGACTACCCCCCCCCCCCACACACACACACATAAACTCGACATTGCCCTCAATGGCATAAGAAAGTGATAGAGTGATGTTACCGCTTGGGCTTGGTGAGTGAATGTAGGAATCCAACCGGGGTAGAATAATTGAAGCTTCAAGGAGAGACAACAAAAACACACACACAAGCACAATACGACTCGCTCGAGGCGAGGTTATTACAAGCACAATACGTAGTAGAAGTAGTAGTAGTAGCAGCAACAACAACAACAATAACAGCAGTAGTAGTAGTAGTAGTAGTAGTAGTAGTAGTAGTAGTAGTAGTAGTAGTTCATGCCACACACACACAAATAACAAAAACAAAAAGAAAACAAGCTTAGGGTTACAAGTAGAGAAGTGGGGCGAATGGACTCCGCTCTGCCACATGTCTCTCTCGTCGGCTACCTCTCTCTGGTGGATGGTCCCTCTCCAGACTCGGGTAGGATATCCTGATGTCGATCCATGTGCTAGAGGATGTCGGAATGTCGCTTGAGGTGGGATGAGAATCCCAAGAAGCCCGTCTCAAGGCGATCCACCCTTTCGACGAGGGGTTCGCCTGCTCCTGGTGATGGTGGCTGTTGTGCAGGGCCCGGGAGCGCTGGACGCCGGCGGCGGCCGGGTGAACGAGCAGGTGGCTGCTCTGCTGCTGGGAGAACCTCGGGGTTTGGACTCAATCCCTCGATGTACCGCACTGGGCCAAAGGTGCGCAATAAGTTCATGGAGTGCAGAGTGCCTTCGTCAAATCTCTGAGTGCCTCCCTCTTTCGAGCACCCTAAGAGGCTGACATCGAAGTATCTGGCATGGCGGGTGATGTACGGACCTGTGGATGTGACGTAATGACGGGTCCCCCCTTTTTCCCTGGCAAACAATGTGGCAATGACTGAACCTAGGTGCAACGTGCTTGACCGGTCCGTCATGCAAGCACACGCTAGTAAGATTTTCTCGGTAATCTTGTTTGGATTGCGGTAAGCAGGGTACGTAGAGGGAAGCCGGGTAGAGGGAATGAGCCAGGAGTGCAACCATGACACGCCATTGGGGATGGAGTGTGGATGTCGTGGTGAGGGCCGACTTGAACTTCGTACTTGGGTACTTTGGAAGACACATCTTCAGAAACGCGGCATTCGCGTCAAACCTTCGAATGGCGTATTCCTCCCACTCGTCCCTACGGTTGGCTTCCACTCCGAGGGCTATGGCCAACTCGTCATAGCTCACGTCACGAGGTTCCCCTCCCAATCGTAACTCGACCCGGCGTATCGGATGATTGAGTAGGCATAAGCTCTTGCGTATGGCAAAGGTGCTGAAAAACTCGACGCAAATCTCCCCATAAGTGTCATCTTCAAGATCAAGTGCTTGGCGCCATTGGGGGTGCACCACTGCCTCTCTCATAGCGTCACCGCAATGGAGCCTATCAAACATGGCGAAGTCGATTAACCAATGGTTACCGACTCTTGAGGATGCACAGAACAATGGCTCTTGATCCATTTCGAGGCTGCTCCTTAGTGCCACAAGATAAGGGTGATCCATGTTGACCATCCTGCACAAAGAACAAAACACACACCATACGTGGAAACATCCGTCATATACCGCTCATTGGGAGGAAAAGAAATTCCCCCCCCCCCCACACACACTTTTTTCTACCGTGGCATGGTTGTGGGTATTTCACGGTTCAAGCACACAAAAATTGGAACCACAACCCCTACCACGGTGGCTACCATCCACCAATCAAGAACAAACTCCACTTGCATTCATAACATAGCACTTGGTGGGCAAATTCTAAAAATAATCACAATTTGGTTCACACACGCCCACCAAGGCTCACTAAGCTCATGCAATAATAAATCCATCAATCACACAACCTAATTCACCTAAGTCCTCCCCCTAACTAGATTCAATCATGCCAAGCACAGAAATTCAACCTCACTTCACTACCTAATCTGATTCTCCACAATTCACAAAAGTAAAGGTGAAAAACAAACCTGGAGACTCAAGTGGGACGAGGGAGGAAGTGAGGAGCGGGCAAGGACGGTGAAATAAACTGGTCTGAAACTGACCGGAGAGGGGTCGCCGGAGCTCCGTCGGAAGCTCGCCGGAGACTCGCCGCCAGTGACTTGGCCGGAAAAAATGTTGTCCAAATCTTCCCAAATTCACATCGCATGCCGGTTTTGAGGAGAGGGGACTAGGTACGACATTGGTTTTTGGTTTTGCTCGCCGGATTTGGGGGGGAAATTGGAAAAGCGACAGAAATTCGCATTTTCCGGCGAAGATTCAAAATTTTCTGGAGAGTTTTTGGTCGTGAAGTGAAGGGTCGCAGCTCACGCCCCTTTTTTGGTCGTTGCCTAGTTAACGATCGCTATGCATCCGTGAACACGGAGTGGTTGACAGGTGGTGAACATGCATTAGCGCCCTGTTCATGGTCTTAGAGACCGTGAACTCAGCAATCCTTCTATGAACTGAAGTGAAATCAGGGCACTTCTTCAAAAAAATTGACCCAACCTATTCCTCCGTGCCTCCTAATCGATCACAACACAACCATAAACTTCAAAACACAACACTCAGCACGGGGACACCACTTCACCACTCAAACCCTTCACAAGACACGAAAACAAAAATTAATGAAAAGAAAACAAACCTCCGTTGGGTTTCCTCCCAACAAGCGCTTGTTTATCGTCATCAGCTTGACGGTTGGGGATCAATCACGACTTTAAACGTGATGCCTCCGAGAGCGGATCCACCACACTCTCGGGGTGAGGCTTGTAGCCTCCCATCTTAGGTTCATTGATTTGGCCAACCTTGCTCCGGGCTCCCCCGTCTTTTGGGTCAAAGCTCCCTTCATCCTTATTCTCCAAGCATTCAATCTTGGTCCTTTTGGCCTAGGACCCTTCTTAACTTCCTGCTCAACATCATCAAAGACAACACAAGTAATGGTGGGGTATGCCTTAGGAGGCTCTCCTCCACTCTCATTCACATCATTTGAGACTACCCCCTTCACTTAATCCCTCCTCACCCTAGGATCAATTTCAATCTTGATTCTCTCCTTACCATCCCTCAAAATTAGGGTTCCCTCATTAACATCTATCAATGCCTTGGCGGTTGCAAGAAAGGGACGACCGAGGATGCGGGGCATATCCGAGTCCTCACTTATGTCGAGAATAACGAAATCGGTCGGATAGCAAAACTTGCCCACTCTCACCATCATGTCCTCCACTATACCTCTCGAGCTA